AACAACAACAAAACCACCCTGATTTTGCAAACAACAATTTTTTCACACCCGAAAAAAAAAAAAAACACATAGAAAAAGGAGATAAAGGGTTGTGGAGGGGTTGGGGGGGGGGGGGGGGGGGTAAAATGAAAGCCGAAACAAAACTGAAACCAGTCGAACAGGATACTATATTAAGAATAAAACAAACACAAGCCAAAGAACCGCCAAACGAAACTACTAGGACTAACTCTGCCAAGCAACAAATCCTCTGATTCACACCATGACGGACATTTGGAAGAAACTTAAGTCAATGTAAAGAAAAAGCAAACAAAAGATGTTACCAACTCGTCTACTTCAGACCAGAAAGTGGTGAGAATATACTGCAGTCAAGCTAATCCCAAGAAATTAATCCAGTGAACTTCAGCTAAAAAAGCAGAACAACGCTCACGAAACACACAAATCGACGTTTCTCAACATGGACTAACTACACAACAATAACAAAGGGGAGAGTACTCCAACCAGAGGCCAGAGCACGTACAGACCATCCCCCCAAAAAAGCGGACATGATGACTCGCTTTATAAAGTAATTCCCCTGATGGTTACCGGTACCATAAAAAAAAATTGACCTTCAAGCTCCTAACAAGTATGTCGTAGGAAGACTAATTAGGGCCGTTTTCGGCACTCTTCCGAATACCGGCCCCATATTATTTGCTGTCCAAAACATTCCTGTTAGAGCCTCAAACGAAATTATATAATAAAAGAAAGCATAGTTTGTAGTGTTCCTGTTCCATTTTTTTAACTACATGACCTCTCAAGTCCCTAACAACGACCTCTTGAGGCCTTGAATGGGATTTTTTGTCTTTGAATAATATGGGGCCGGTATTCGGAAGAGTGCTAATGACTGTCGTCTGGATGGATGGAACTACTGTGTTTCGCTAAGTTGTGTGATGAATTCTACGATGTTACAAAGGTATGACTGACTGTTTAGATCATTGAATAAGTAATCGAGGAGTGCTACGGTTGTGTATGAACATTTACTGACTGCAACATCAGCGAGTGAAAATA